GCAGCAAGGCCCCCACCAAGTGGTCCACCGCGATAGCAAGTTCGCAACAGAAAGGCCCCCACCAAGTGGTCCGCCGCGGTAGCAAGTTCGCAACAGCAAGGCCCCCAAGTGGTCCACCGCGATAGCAAGTTCGCACCAGCAAGGCCCCCAGCAAGTGGTCCACCGCGATAGCAAGTTCGCAACAACAAGGCCCTCAACAAGTGGCCCACCGCGGGAGAACAGCCCCATTAGTGGCCAACAGAGTAAGCTGCAAGATAAGGTAAGCCTTTCAATTTGGCACGTATATTCGCGAAGGGGTGAGGAAATTGCATAAGGCCGTGCGTGAGTACCATATTCACCCCTTCCATATATATATATATATTTTTGATACGTATATATATTTCCGAAATTTAAACGGTATCGGTGTAGGATAATCCGTTCCTTTTCGCGAAATTCGAGCGGTAAAGTTGTGGAGGAATAGCGGAAATTCCTTTGAAATACCGTATCCACACACCGTTGTGTATATATATTAAAAAAAAAAGAGAAAAAGAAAGAAGAAAGTGAAATTGTGCCACGGGTTGCGGGACTCAGCGTCCGTTACAAAAAAGGTGTTTTTTTTTGTGTTTTTGAGAAAAATCAAATTAAGTCGTCGAAGTTTCGACAACCTCAATTATTGAATTTTGTAGTTGCTTTGTTATTACATAAATTAAATAAAGATTTTTTTTATACATTTTCTCTGAGTTTTCCTACGTTGTCAGTTGTACGTTTTATACCGCGCCACCTGTAAAGTGTTTGACGTGAATTTTTAAAATATTAAGCAAAAGTGGTTGAGGCAGAAGGCCCGTAAACGGACTACATAACATCGATTTTTTTCACATAAGGATCCCTCAGGTTGTGCGTTACACTGAGAGAAAACTCTTTTGATATAAGCTTAGCACACAAATAGCCCGTGGAATTTCGCGAGCCATAAACAGGGTTTTGTTTGACATAATAAATAAAATTTAAATTGAATATAGTTTGTATATATATTAACTGAAGGTTAAATATATTAAAGAAGGTTATTTTTCTTTACACTTTTTCCACGACTTTTTATTGTGATAGTATCTTTTTTGACGTCGTTGTCGATAATTTGCGAAAATAGTAATAGTGGTTTGTTTTTAAATTTTTCGTTTTAATTAAATTAGTT